TAAAGCTATAAATGGTTAAGATCATCAAAGCCTAACAACTTTGCTAAATACCTTTAACCACAGCAAATAAAGAGCAAATTTATAACTTTTCATGGCTAAGCCAAAATGAATCCATTTTCCTAAATTACTAATTCATATTTTAATTAGAAAATGGGATCAAAAATGTTTTTGGTTTTTTTTTGCTATGCTGAGCTTATAGACAACAGTTTCAGTGATTTTAAATGGCATGCATTGCTCTTCAGTAACCCCATGCTTCTTGTTGCTATTAAGTACTGGGGAGTAGGTTCCAATTCACAGAGCCCCTATAGAGGGGTTCCTAGGCCTTTAAATCTTCCCATGAGCAGAAAGCCTCATCTTGCTCCAGCTGACTCACCAGCTGACAGGCTCAAACACAGACCTTGTGGTTCGTACTCCAGTGTTTATCGTATGGAGCTACACTTCTCCTCAAAGTCTATGTTTTGTTGTTGTTGTTAAGTGCCATCAAGTCGGTTTCGACCCATAGTGACCCTGAATAGTGTTTCCAAGTCTATGCTTAGATGGGGGTTAACTATAGTAATGAACTTCCAATAGAATGTCTGGAAATTTAGCTGACACCTATATTTCACCTAAACATTTGATTTTTGTGACAATCTTGGGGGCATTTTGTGGTATAAAGCATACTGAAATCTAGAGAATTTGAGGCACAGAAGGGAAATTTAAAAGGATAGTTATTCGAGTCCATATCTAGACCTGTATTTCAGGATAAATGATTTTGTTTTTTTTTTTGTTCTCTAGAAATGTAATCTACAGTCCCTTTCTTAGCTAGCCTATATTTTAGATAACTTATGGCAGCCAAAATATTCTTCCATTGAAATTTCTGGCTGCAGTTAAAATCTGCCTTCTATTTATTGCTTTATCTTCTATAGAAAACTAATGTCCACATTTTAAAAAACCTTACTTCTTTCAACACTTGTTAAATTGGCCTCTGAATCTGTAAGGTTAAATAATCATTATTTTAAAAGTCAGTATTTGAGCACTTAAACTAAATCATTCAAAACCTTGCCATCTTAACTGAATTTGTTCCCTGCTACCTGTATTTAGGAAAATTGTAAATAAAGTTTCACAGTCATAACCTATAATTATTTATACAGGCATCTTCAGATGAATTATAGCAAGACATTCCAAAGAAGTAATGTGGATTTCTTGGAAACTCCAGAGCTTACCTCTACTATGCTCGTTCCTGGTAATGATCTGGGTTCGCATGCGTCTATGTGATTTTGTATTGTCTTTTTCCTTTTAAAACACAGAATATTCTTTCCCTCTCAAATGTTATCAATGGTGCTCTCTTTAGTGTTAATATACATTGAAATTGAGGAGGAATGGAGGAATAAGAGCTCTATTTCTTTTTCTCGATGGCCTTCATTCCATCTTTAGTGAAGCAAAATGTGTATTCATGGTTATATTAAACCTAAGTCATTTTCAGGTCATCCTGGCATTTTAAGAGACTTGAAGTACTCAAAAATGTATGCAGTTATTTTACCCTACTGGAATTTAGAGTTTTGCAAACCATTTGAAATAAATGGCCCATAAACTGGAGATGAAAATTGTTAGGAATATTTTAATTATTGTTGTTACGTGCTATAAAGTTAGTTCCAACTCACAGTGACTTTGTATAGGGTTTCGGAGGAGCAGCTGGTGGGTTGAAACCTGACCTTGTGGTTGGCAGTCCAGTGCTTATGCTACAGTGCCACACAAAGGAATTATAAAGTTATAGGAAAATTTCGTTATTTTTCAATTTCGTTTTTCCATGAACTTTTTGAAGCCCTGGTACTACTGGGTGGAAAGAATCAAGAAAATAGGTTACTATTGTTGTTGTTGTTGTCAAGTGCCATCGAGTCAATTCCAACCCATAGCGACCCTGTATAGGGTTTCCAAGGAGCATCTGATAAGCTTGAACTGCCGACCTTGCCATTGAAATGGCTTTGCAGTTTGTCACATTAACACCAGGACTCCAGGTTAATATTAGTGGGACTTTAAAAGGATAGACTTGGTGGCTTGGGTAACAAATGGAAGAAAAAGGAAGTAAATACTGAAAGTAAAGTTAGGTGAGGAAGTGGGGAAAATCTGGTGTGGATGCCTTTGAATAGAATTGGATGATTCTTCTTACAGTCTCAGACTGAGCTCAGGTCTTTATAAGGGGGCTTCAAAAAGTTCGTGGAAATGGAATTGAAAGATATTGGAATTTTTCCATGAAGTTTTGAGTCCCCTTAGAATGTACTGTAGATCTTAAGGACAGCTTTATCTGGCATAGAAATGGACAACTTATAGAATTTCTTTCACTATATATTTCAATTATAATCCTCAACTAGGAAAGTCATAAACCTGGTTGAAATCTCTTTTGATTCACAATTTAAACTAGGATACACCATAGCTTAAGAATACGTACAAATGAGAATGTGGTAGCACTGGGTAGTATAGGGCAGACGTCAGTGATTGCCTTCAATTTATTTTTTAATTTTAGCTTATTATCCAGTTTGAAGAGTGTGCTATAAATAGAAAGGTATCAAATACAAGTAATTTCTGTACACATGGCTGCTGCAGCATTTGTACACAGAATACAGAAAAGTGAGACCCATACTTCAGTTATCTTCACATCCCCTTCCGTACCCAAATACAGTGTAATATATAAGAAAACAAGTATTTCCTAAATGAAGGAATGAGTAAGGATGTTGACATACAATGCACTGGTATTGTCATAAAATTTTCTGAGAAGTTCTAACACTTGTAATTTTTGTATCTACCATCACAAAACTGCCAAAACTAGTTCAAAATGTAGGAGGGAGCTTGCTCATACTTGGTGTTTTCAGTTTTTCTAGGACAGAAAATACCTGAATAAGAAGAGAGTAGAAAGAGTACAAACCGAGAAGCTAATGGGTTATTGTTGTTGCTAAGTGCCATCCAATCGGTTCCGACACATAGCAATCTATATAGGGTTTCTGATGAGTGGCTGGTGGATTTGAATTGCCAACCTTTTGGTTCAAACTAACCTTGCAGTCCAGCACATTAACTCTGCAAAATAAAAAGTCATAGCAAGAAAAGGAAAAGTAATACAATAAATGTTTTCTGGCCCAATTTGTTCATTATTTTCAATTAACTTTCTACGCAATATTAGTGCCACTGCTACATACATTATAGTATCTTCCTATCACAGAGCATTTTCTAATTTAGACTGAAAATTGAGAGCAAATATAACTGGATCAATTGTGGTTCCCTTACCCTGGTGTTACAGTGGTTAATGTATACAGCTAATGAGCTCAGTGGTTTGAATCCACCAGCTGCTTCAGGGAGGACAATGTGACTATCTGCTTCTGTGAAGATGTACAGCCCTGGAAACTCTATGAGGCAGGTCTACTCTGTCCTCTAGAGTCACTATGGATTGAAATGGACTCAATAGCAATTAATGTTAGATTGTGGTCTCCCACCCACCCTATTTCAGTGTAAAAGGTCTCCCACCCACCCTATTTCAGTGTAAAAGTTTTTAGTGCCAACAATGTGCACACATCTCAACAAAAAGCTAGAGTTAGCAAATAAATACTATCTGTTATCTTATTGTCCATATTATTTGTAATATAGTTTCAGTTGCCAATTCTGTCCATTTTTACATAGTGTAAAGTCATTTAAGTTAAAAAAAAGAGAAATTAAAACCATATTAGTTGCACATATTTACATATTTTAAAATATGAAAGGAGGTAAAAAAAAACAGCTATTGTATTTACAAATAATTCATAGGTTTGCATTTCTAATTTAATTTACAATTATTTCTAACAAATGGTTCTCATGTAATAAGGCAACTAGAGCGTATCCAGATAGAAAAATCCAACCTAACTCAATTTTCTGTGATCCATTCTTATAAATTCTTAACACTAACAAAGTTTAAATGAGGCATACTGGAACATGGCAACTAGGTCCATAAACCAGAGGCAAAAAGAATATGGGAAGCTGGCTCTATGGAACAGAACACCACCAGGCATAGAAAAGACCTGTAGCTATGGAATAAACAAATAAAAGAAAAACTCTATGGCCATCAAATTATTTTGTTGTTGTTCAGTGTTGTCAAATCTATTCTAACTCATAACAACTCTCTATAGGGTTTTTCAAGGCTATAAATATTTGAGGAAGCTGAAAGTCTCATTTTCTACCCACAGAGTGACTATGGTCTTGAACCAGTGACCTTGTGGTTCACAGTCCAGTGCTTATTCTACAGAGTCACTGCACTCCCTGCAAATCACTTTCCTGTTAAGTGCCATCTAGTCAGTTCTGACTCATAGCAACTCTGAGTTTCCAAGGAGCAGCTGGGTGGGTTTGAACCACCAACCTTGTGTTTAGCAGTCTATTGTTGATCCTACAGCACCACACCAACAAATTAAAGACTGTGAAAACAAATTTTAATTATTTCCTTTTTTTTTCCCTCACAGCATTCTATACCATTTAAAATTATTTGCCATAGACTTGCCCTGGGGATATTTAAATTCATTGAGGAACACATTTCCAATTTTACAATGTAAACATCTGAGCAAAAATCATAGTCAACACATCCATTTACTTGTACCTAATTTTTCTGAAATCTGTAAAGTACCATGTATCATATATTTCAAAAGTACCTTATAGTACTGGATAGATGAAAAACTACAGGATGATTTTATTGTCAGGGCATTTAACAAGTGCCAAAAGGCATGGTAATAATAACAGTCACATAGTTTAATCTAGGTTCAAATAGTCAGGACAGGGTGACTAAAAAGTAAATATGCAGACAGAAGATGGGTGGAAATGGTCTCTTTAAGAATAATGTGATGTTATTAAGTGCCATCTAGTTGGTTCAGACTCAGAGAGACCCTATATAGGGTTTCTAAAGCTCTTTACAAGAACACAAAGAGCCTCATCTTTCTCTAGCACAGTGCCTGATATGCTTGAACTGCTGACCTCATGTGTTAGCAGTCCAACACGTAACCCACTATGCCACCAGGGATCCTAAGGAAGATATTAGCAGAGAAAAACTTTGAAGAAGTATGATGTAGGTTGTAATTCTTTTCCATTACTAAAATCTTCTCTCTTTCTCTTTTCAGCTTCATGGTGGATCCTGAATAACAACTAGATGTTACTTTTTAGCTCCAAGTGCAAAAACAATTGCTCTTATTTACAATGTGAATTAGAAAATTTTCTGTGGTTGTTAATCTGCTGTCTGCTTTTGTGCAGTATATTTAACACTAAGACGTGCACTCTTGTAAAAGCTATTCTATAACTTTACTATTCATGTGAGTTGTAAGCTCAATTTTGAGTGTCCACTATAATTCTCAGTATTTGATGCTAATTGTTCTGCTACCTAAAACACTTTAGTAGCAAAAATCTAACGTGTGACACGAGTACAGATAAAGGAATTAAAATTGTACAAAATAAATTGTTTTTATGAAGGACAAATATTTGAACTGGGAACTTTTGGGGGATAAATTTATAGGACAGATTTGGTAAAATGTCACTGTCATAAAGGGTTAAGTTTATGGTTTGTGATTATATATGCAGGTGATTGTCTGTGAATGGTGTTTATTCTTCAATAATGCCTATTCCATTCCCAATTCGTAATCCCATGAGAATTCACTTTATATTACTTAAAAAGATATTGCATAGGCAGAAAACCACCTTGACTGTAAAGGTAGTTTTCTGCCTATGCGATAACTTTGGAAGTAATAAAGACTAAAAAGAATCTCTATCCATTTGCTAAGTCATAAACTAGTATTTCAGAGTAAGTGAACAATGTTGTGATAAATTAGGGCATCATTTAGTAACGTAACAGTACTATATCATTTATTAGTATCATGATTACTTGTACATAATAAGTCAAATATATCAAGATAAAAGGGAAGTTTTACTTTGGAAGATTCTGGCTCAAAACTTATAGAATACAGTTTTGGTGTGAGATTTGGAAGATTAACTCTTCTTAAGAAAATTAACATTTTCATTTAAATAAGGATTTAAAACTACTTTTAAAACACTTTACCTAGATGAAAAAACAAAACAGGCACAGAACTTTAGAAAACTCAGAAAATAGAAAAAAATATCGAAATAAAACATGTTTTTAAGTTTCAACACTGGAATAGCTACAGTCCTTAAACTATATATGCTCTGCTAGAAACTCATATTTTGAATAAAATCTCTTATGTTCTGATTATAAACCCTTTTAATGAAAGCATTAGTACATATAGAAATGTATCATCGTGTTAGTCTCAAATCTAAATTCCTGTCAGACCACACTTCCTCTGAAGAAAAAATGTAATTTTTGTCCTGTTTTTTTGACAGAAAAATCCCCCTCTCCCCAAAAAAAGAACTAAAACTTTATTTTTTAATTTTTTTTGACAGAAAAATCCCCCTCTCCCCAAAAAAGGAACTAAAACTTTATTTTTTAATTATACAATTTAATGTTAACTTTTACTATATATAAGTCCTGGTGTGGAGCTGTAGAACAAGTACTCAACCTCAAGTTGAACCCCAAGTTCAGTTTGAACCCCAAGTTCAAACTCACCAGCCTCTCCTTGGAGACCCTATGCAGGCTCGCTATAAGTCAGAACTAACTTGACAACACTTAACAACACTATTGCATGTCCTTAGTCCTCATCTGATCTAAATAAAATTAAAGATTTTTTTTACCCTCTAGATTTTTTTCTATTGCACCTTGGTAATAAAATGTTAGACACACAATATTTTTGGTTAATTCTTAAAAGTGGCACAGTGTTTAAGTCTTTGGATTCTGCAAAGATTTACAGTCTTGACAAACCTACATGGCAGTTCTACCCTGCCTTATCGGAGTCCTGGTGTGGCACTGTAGGATAAGCACTGGACTGCTAACTACAAGGTCAGCGGTTCAAACACACCAACTGCTCCTTGGAAACCCTATAGGTCACTGTGAGTCAGAACTGACTCAAAGAGACTTAACAACAGCATAGGCTCACTATGAGTCTGAAATAACACCAGCAGGGGTGTGTGCTCAAGTCTTAAGATGACAAACACTATGAAATAAGTTCTAACGCAGCTATTTTAATTTATATACAAAGAACAACATTAATGAAGTTGTACAATGATTAGTCAAACAAGCTATACACAAAGCTTGTATACACAAAGGGAAATAGATAATAAACAGTCTTTGCAGTTTCACTTTGATTGTATACAGTAAGAAAGGATCAACTTACTTTTAAAGCTAGGAAACTTTTGACATACAACCTCTTCTTAAAAACACTGGTTACAAATACTTTCAAAGAGCACAAACAAATCATAATCAATCTAAATATTGCTCTGGCAGTCCATTTTAGTATCAAATTCAGAAAGTGTATCAAGTCTTTTGAGTACAAGGTAATTTCCAAAGTATCATGGCAGCATGACTTTGAAAAGGATTCTGCCTTCAGTAATACAGGTGATTAAGTGAAAAGGTTCTCTGATTTTCTAGTTCAAATAAGTTCTATTGTATTTTTTTAATTAGAATCAAAAGGACCCAAGAAAAGGAAATTTTGTAAAGCAAACCAATTTAATTATATAGTCATTAAAATACACAGTCGTTCTGACCCAAGCTCTTACCAAAAATACACATATATTTGTGTGCTTATGTATGTAAGAGAGTATGTTTGCTTAAATGTGTGTGTCTGTATTAACACACACATATATATACTTGGATCTAGAATAAAAATAGTAGTGTAAAACACAAATAAAAAACTGGGCCTTATATAAAGATATCTCATTTTAAATTAAGTAATACATTTATGGCTAATGAAAATGTTTTCTTATACTTATAAAAGCATCATTTTCTGGGAAGGAAAGTAATATAAAGTGGTGGTAGTAAAAGACCAAGATGGAAAACATACCTGGACTAAAGCTTGAATCTGAGTAATAAGCTCAAAATCCAGTGAAGAGAAAGGTACTGATTTTATAAGTTCAGGATTCGGTGAAAGATAAAACATTTCACCAAATGATAACTTATAACTACTTGCCAATAGACTCAGGATCTGAGTGATCAGAAGTATAGAAAGTTTACACTTACCTTTGTAACAGCCTTTTTATGGTAACCCAGTGTTGGAAAAAAACTCTGTTGTTGTTTTTTTTGAAACAGTGGCTACTTCCAAAGTGACAAATTATAGATTTATTGTATAAAATTTTTAAGAGTTTAAAGTTTAAACCAAAAATTCTTCATCCATTCATGTCCTTGACATAAGACATTACAGAATTGAAATTTAATACACCTGAATTTTCTGCAAAGGTCAAAAATTTTCCTTTTTGAAAATAAAGTACCAATTCACTTTTTGCAGATGCTCATCTTCCACCGTTCACATGGTTTGATTAGTGACAAAAGTAGTAGCTATTTTTCAGCTTCAGTTTCATTTACTATTATTACTATTCCCAAATTGTCCGTCTTGGCTAGTAATTTTGTAGACTATGTTACTGTCAAAAACCTATGGACCAATCATATATTTGATCAAAAATGGTTAAACATTCTTCCTCCCACCTTGAACACCCTCTGGAGAGATTAGCATTGTTTGAAGCAATGGTATGAATTCAGTGGAAACAAAACAAAGGTAAATTTAAAAGCAACAAAAAACTGTATACAATATATACATTGTAGCAAATACTTTATATTTGAGAATCTTTACAACTTGTATTTCCATTCCATTATTAAAAGTGATGAAAAAAGAAAAAACTGCAAGTAGCATGCAAATTCTATACATTCTTTTGACTTTACTAACCATATTTCTACTTTCCAGTGTCATTTCCCAATTTATACAGGTAACTTCCTGCAAAGATGAGACTGATTAGAAAATTCTTTATAGTTCAAAATATCTTTCTCATTTTAGGAAAAACCAAATAGACAACCATCAAAATTAAAAATAAATTGAATAGTCAATCCATTGCAGTTATTGTTACTAAATCCACTTCATTTGTAGGTGTCCAAAATATAAAACAAAAAAAATTCTTTATCTTCAAATCCATCTGTTCTTAAAATGCTACTTAAAACTTTGGTTGTTTTCCTGTAATATAGAAAAAAAAAACAGTTGATCAATTAGCTGAATGAATATAATTTTCCTAATTAGTTTATCAAACCAAATACTGTAAACCTACTGTCTGTGCATCTAAATGCATGTTAGTTTAGAAACTATTAAAAGAACTAGAATTTGTCAAATAAAAAAACTATTCTGTGTTTAATAAAACACATGTAGTTCATTTAAAAAATATATTCTATTTCAAATCTGTTGTTATTAATGCGTAAGTTCAAAGTAAACTCAATGTACAAGGTATGTTCAAACAATGTGTATGTCAAACTTTTAATTACAAAATAAAATGCTATTTAAGATGGAAGTCTGCAAATGAAAATATGATTATATTTTATATGAATTAAGTAAGTTTAAATTTATTCTTTCAGACTAAGGATTCTATGTCTGTAGAACAGGTCCCGTCCTGGAACAGGTAGGAAAACTGAACATCAAAACTCTCCAAATCTAAAAATGTTACAAAAAAAATTTTAAATCCCTGCTTTTATTAATTTTTAAAAGAAATGGCTAGAGGTCTTTGAGTTAGAGAATTTACATTTAGAAACATTTATATACATTATAAAAAGATAAATTTCAAAGAATTGTAAGGGGAAAAAAACTATGATTCCAAAAGGTTAGAATCCCCCCAAAACAGCCATTTCTAGCATACTAACTTACCCCTTTGTCCCATCTCACTTGCTTTTATCTATGTAAAATAGTATATGAAAAATCTAAATACAAATAAAATTCTGGTAATAGAGACCATAAGTGTGGCAATTAACATTTGTTGAGCACATAAAAGATAGGTACTGTACTAGGTGTTTTCACACATTATTTCATTTACTCCCAGCAACTGGTCTATAAGAAAGTCTGTCACTCTTATTGACAAACTGTAAAAACTGAGGCTGAAGAAGGGTAAATAACTTGTAAACTTGAAGTACAAGTTCACATATAGCAGAGCTCCGAAAGGAACCCTTCTAATACCAAAATCCATGTCCTTTCCAATCAATATCCAAAAAGGTTTATAAATTTATTTGTATATTTATTTTGATGGAATTTGATGAGCTGACTCAGAAATATCAAGGGCTAA